GAGAGAGAGAGAGAGAGAGAGAGAGAGAGAGAGAGAGAGAGAGAGAGTAACTCTCATCTGTCCTCTGATCTTTGTTTGCAAAAATGGGCATTGGACCTACAAATTATATCATCATCCTGAGAAATACCTGTTAACCCACAGGTCCTATTTACTTTCTTCCTATGTGACGCCCAGGCTATTACAGAAGACGCGACATATAATTCCAAAATCCTGTCTGAAAAATGGCTGCCAATATCTCCTCAGAGGAAAGCTTTCTGATGAACAGGCAATCATGCTTACTATAGGACAGAAAAGGGAAAAGTGTCTGGGTATTTGGGTAAGTTGTTTAAGCCTTTGAAGTCTCTGTTTTCTTACCTGTAAAGTAGGGATTAATAATAATCATTTAAACTTGCAAGATGCTTAAGGATAAAATGAGATCACAAACATTTGATAGTGCACATGGCTCCAGGCAATGTTCATGGATCCTGAGTGCCTGCCAGGTAGTCAGCATCCAACAGTGCTCGGGACATGGTGAAGCTTTCTTGCCTAGCATCCTAGTGCCCGTGGATTTACTCCCTACCTGTCCTGCAGAGCTGGCAGGGAAGTCCACCTTGTCCCCATGCTGGGTGAGCACAGAGGGACTGCTAGAGCTGATGAGCATTGGGGTGCTGATTTCCACCATCTGGTGACCTTCAGGAGAATGGACCATTCGGTTGAGTGTGTTCAAAGCTGTAGTCATGGAGAACTGCCCAGATCCTTTCCTCCTGGACCCTGGGCTCTTTCGGAGAGAGGATGTGTTGGTTGCTTTGCTTCTGGATGGTGAGGACATCAGGGATAGGTTTTTTGTGCGTGATAACTGATGCCCTTTGTTCTTCTCTAGGAGGTGTCTTGCTGAGAGGTTTGGCTGCAAAGATAAGAGGACAGATGAGAGTTACGCTCAGACATAGTACAATAGCTAAGTCTCACGCTCATTGGCAGCTGATGTTTTCTTCTAAGTCACTGGCTTGGTAGGCCATCCTTTGGTCAGTATACCAACAAGCTACATCTTTTATCCATTTGAAGCTCGTACATTTGGTGTTTGAGACACAGTAGACACACATTTAGGACCTTGAGTACATCTTTCTGCTAATCTTGCTTCTCCTGTTTTGAATACTGCCATCTCTTCCTGTCCCTTTCCTGTTCTTTGTTTCTAAAGTCAGTTGTTCTGTAAATTAGCTAGGAAAAACAAAACCAACCAACCAACCAACCAACCAACCAAACAAACAAACAAAACCAAGAAAGGCTGGAAAAACCCTGATGTGTAGTGTTATTGACAAACCGATGGTTTAACAGCTGGCTAGCACAATTTCTGGAAACGTAACAAAAGGCATGTCTGATCTGGTGCCAGCCAGCCCAGTGCTGTATTGCTGTGTCAGTGTAGCCTTGCCCTCCATCCCACTCATTCCATTAAGGGCCCCTAGGGACTCATAGCCTTTGGAAATGTGAAATCAGTCGAAAACAATGAGGGTTCCTATGAATCAATGCTTTAGTCTCAGGATGATTAGTCAAATTCCTATTATTCTAATAGTCACCAATGGCTCTCCAAAGCCACATGTCTCATTCTAATTTAGAAATTTAACTAGAGGTAAAAAAAGAGTTTTCCCATTTAGGAACGTTTAAAATGACAATGTGCAGAGGTTTAAAATAGCTAAGACAGAAAACTTGGAAGAAGAGGTGATTCTTGTCTGAAAACTCTCTCCATGCTGTGAAAAGCTCATCAAGTAGGGGGGTGGTGTTATTTTGTTTGTATTTGCGTGTATTTGTGTGTGACTTTCCACATATCTGCATGTATGTGTACACACACATATGTGCACATATACTTAGAGGGCAGAGGTCAAATTCTTTTGGATTCCTCAGGGGCAAAAATCCCCCTTGTATCTTCAGGTAGGGTCTTTCACTCACCAAGTACACATTAAATAAAGCCCATTTCAAAGATAAGAAAGCTTAGGCCCAGGAGAAATGGCACAAGTGACAGAGCCCATTTGTAAGCTAATAAAGAAGCTATCAGATGAAAATAATCTTTCAGTCCAAGGGAGAGTGCCCAGGGAGAGTGGTTACTTTAAATGGGCTGGGGGAAGGAAGATCAAGGAAAAGCCTTCAAGAAGGTGATATTCAAGCTGAGACAAGGGATGGAGAAAGAACTGGTTGTGTGAACCAGTTGTGTGAATGAGGATGTGAACAGGCCAGGCAGAAAGAGGTAGAGGAGGATGGAAGGGAGCAGGTGAGGAGACAGGGAGAGGCGGCTGCAGGCTTGGCAGGAGCCCGATTGCACAAGGACTTAGGCGGCTTTGACTTATTTTCAGTGTAACAGGAAGCTCCTGGCAGGATCTGGGAAGAGGAGTGACACGGAGTGATTTATGCTTTTTAAAGCTCATGTTACGGTTTGGCAGTTTCTCATAGCTAAACACATACTTAACATTGGATCCAGCGATCCCACTTCTGGTAATTACTCGAAGAGAGAAAAATATATGCTCAAGCCACGGTTGTATTCAGCATTGCCAATAGTGGGGAACAACCTCCATGTCATTTACTACTGGTTGACGGTTTACACATGTGTGTGCACAAGTGGAGGCCAGTGGCCATCCTTGGCTGTTGTTTCTTAGGAGCTGCCCATCTTGGATTTTAGGCAGGGTTTCTCAGTGGCCTGGAATTTGCCAATGAGGCGGGCTGGCTGGCCACTGAGCTCCAGGGATCCTCTCCTGTCTATACTTCCCCAGTGCTAAGATGATAACTGGCTTTTTTTTTTTTTAAACTTGGGTTCTGGGATTGAACTCAGGTCCTCACAATTGTATGGTAAGACTTTACAGACTGAACTGTCTTCCCAGATGTCTTTTAAATGTTGAAAATACTATCTCTGGAACAACTGCACTTCGGGACATTGCTCACTAACAAGAAAGTGAGCTACGGACACAAATGAATCTCAGACGTGCTGAGCAACACAAAAGAAGCCAAGCTCAGGAAGCTGTGTTCTATGGAGTTCCATTTATAGAACACTAGAAAAAGAAAGCCATGGGAGCGGAAAATAGATCACTGGTTACTAGGTATTGAGAGTCTGAGCAGGAACAGACAGACAAGAGGTTGCAGAGTGAGGGATTTGGGAGGGGGACATGTTGAAACTTTTCTATATATTGACTGTAGTGGGTTTACATCATTATATGTGTTTGTCAAAACAGAGATCTGGATGTATAAGGAAACGAAGAGATATTACTTCATATAAATGAAAATCTAACTATTTATGTTACCCAGAAGTGATGACGAGAAGTAGGGATACCAATTAGTAAGCTATTGATCTTGTTCCTGCATTCTCTGATGGTCACCTGGACTAAGGATGCGGCTTTGCACGGCCCCACAGCACCTGCCCCTCCATAGTTTACACAGGAAGAGGACAACTGATGGCCTTTCAAATTGAATGAGGGATGTGTTTTACAGTCCTCTGCAGCTATAACGACACAAGTTAAATCTTTTCTATTTGTCCTGTCTGTTCTGGCTCCAGGTGGGCACCACCATCACCTTTTAAATTTATTTATTTTTATCAGTAACACCAAACAAAGAGCCTCATGAGACTGCTTCTGCCCTGTCTTCCACTGGTGTGATTGATAGTTCCTTGGGGGAAGAACTGCGGGACTCATTTGAAACAATATCCTTGAAGTTCATTGGCCTGGATGAGGCTCACACACTGAGGCTGCCCTAACGAGAAGTCCAGACAAAAGCAGGCAGAAGCTCGGCTTCTGTTTTACCACCCTTTGTGCAGGTGCAGTTCAATAAATCAAATGATGCATTAACAGGAAAAAAAGTCTTATTTATGCACAAGAAATTCCATGTTATTCCTTATAAAAAGCCTTTCTTTCAATTGCTCTGTGTGACGCTGCCAATGCACAAACTTACGGAGTTCTTAGCAGACACTGGTCTTAATGAAATTACTGGAGTCAAAGCTTTAAGTACCATTTTAAGAACTCAATTTAGATTTGAAGTAACATTTGAAAAGTAGGTTTCTAATTAGACAAACCACTTGATTATCTTCTTCCTCCTAGCAATTAGGAGAACAAATGAAGCAATGGCTAGTTTCATGATATTTTTGAGGGTTCTCATAATTACTATTTTTAGTGGTAAGTTTGTAGCAAGATTATCCAAATGGATAATCATTAAATACAGAAGTTTTGGGGAAAAAAAAGTTTTCAGAAATGGGTGATGAAATTAATGCTTAGCCCTTCACTCCAGAGCTATGGAGAAGCATCTCAAAATACTGCAGGCGATCAGGCCAAAGTCTTCCCCGCTTCCTGTGTTCGCTGAGGTACCAAATGCAGGTCCTAGGAGAGTTAGCTTTGTCTCCTAACATCCTTTCTGTTTCCACTTAGCAAATGGCCCTGCCACTGACCTAGGCACGCAAGTCAATGAGAGGAGATGCCCCAGACTGCTCCACCACCTATGCAGTTCCCACGCCAGTTCTCATGAGAGGCAGGATTTGAACTTGTCAATTCATTTCCAGTCTAGCGGTCAAAGTTGCAACCTTTCCTAACGGAGCCATGCAGACACACATCAGCCTGCTCATCTGTCCTTCTGTGTTTTTTCTCCTTTTGTGATTTTTATTTCCCTACAGTATCCAGGAAACCTAAGACTGGGCCTGGTCACTCACATCTGCGATCAGAGCATTTGGGAAGCTGAAGTAGGTAAAGGCTAGCCTGTGCTGTACATTCATTCAGTTTCAGGTCAGCCCGGAATAAACAATGAGACCCTGTCTGAAAACAGAATGAACAAATCAACTCCTACCAACCAATGGACTGAAAAAATGACAGTCAAACCAAACAAACCAAGCTTGAGTCAAGTCACTGCTTTCCTAAGAACCTTCTATGGCTTCTATGGATCTCTGAGTTAGATCTTAGTTTATTATAGTAGATGGAGAGTCTCCTCCATGTATCCACATGATTCCCTCACCTCTGCTGTCTTAGAGCGATGTGGCTACTCAGGCCAATGGGCAGTGAGTGAATGTGGGGAGTGTTACTTCAGAGGCCCTCAACCAGGAATATAGAACCTACTCTCCTCTCCCTAGGAAGGACACATGCTCCAGATGTTGTAGCTAAAAGATGGCCCAGCCTTATTAGTGTCAGTTCCCAGGTGGCTATGAAGAAAGCCACTTGGCTACTTGTGCTGAAGTTCATACATTTTAGGTAGGAGACACTATTTTCTTTGTTAAGCCACTGAGACTCTGGGGCTGTTTCATATGACAGGATTACCTAACCTTTCCTGACTGTTCACAAAATGATTCGTAGTTTACTACAATTTGCTTCTTTGGCTTGGTGACTCTGCTTCAGATCTAGTTGTCTCTAGGTCCTTCTTGTGCTACTTCTATGTCCCCAGTTGCTCTCCCCTCTATTCAGACACACCTAACCTTAATTGCTTCTCAGTCAGCTCAGATGGGGTTTGCTGACCTTCTTGATTAAGCTGCACATCACAACCCCCTAACAGTTCCCTTCTCTCACTCTCTGAACCATCCATCATCCTTGTAATTCATTACCCAAGTACCGGACTCTGTGACCTCTGGGATTAGGGACCCATATCCATCCTGTATCTTTAGAACTTATTGAAGAACCTGATAGAGCTGTTCCCAATGAGTGATTAAGTAAGTGAGAGAACTGGACAGGGTCAGGGCGAATGGTTTATTTATCTTTTCTAACCACCTTCAGATAGGCTTTCATTTATTCATTCTAATGCTTTAAAAATTGTTGCGTTGTTACCGGATCCCAAGGCCTTGTATAAACTGGGCAAACTTATTTTTCATGGAGAGTCTGTTCCGTGTTAGCTGTTCTGTGAAGTCTGACCAACTCGTGTTCAGAGAAGACAGAAATCAATCAATGCTCACTTGGCTGCTGACATTTTCGGGACCTTTTCCCCCAGCACAGCCTCATGAAATGAGTGAGATTTAAACAGACAAGAAGCACAGGAAGGCAGGTGTGCCAGGAAGAGAAAGGCTCGAACAACGAGAGGCCCTTTGGGTGCACGCACTAAAAGCACAGTGTTCTGAACCGCTCTCCCTCCACCCTTCCCTCCGCTGTTGCCTTGACTGGCTGAGTGAAGGACATACCCAACTCCTTGAAAGCTGGACAATGCTTAGGAGACACCCTTCGTTGAAGAACTTGCTTTGGCTTTCATGCATGGAAGAGTTGGCTTCTTCTCAATTCTGCCTCAGTTCTGTTCCCCCACCCTCCTGAAGGGTGGGGCCACCACTTTGTCCTTTTATAGCTCCCTGATACTTTCAATGCTTTTATGCATGGTAAGCACCCAATAAAAACACTTAAACAATGAAAACTCTCGTTTGAATTTGCAATGACTTGCTTCGAGCTAGGGTGAGGCCAGTGGCCACTGAGGTTAGAGACTAGAGGTTAGATAATTACACTAGAGAAATAGATAGCCTAGCTTTTTTTTTTTTTTAAATTCCACAGAGGTAAGGCTGGGGAATTAGCTCAGTAGGTAAAGTGCTTGTTATGCAAAGGTGCCCAGACACTGTATAAAGGCTGTGGTAGAGCATGCCTGAAACCTGGTGCCGGTGGTGAGGGGATAGAGGCAGGCAGATCTGGTGGCCAGTATCAGCAAACAGCAAGCTCCAGGTTCATTGAAAAACTCTCAGAAAACACTGTGGAGAGCTGTAGGGGAAGACAACTGATGTCAACCTTTGGGTTCCATCCGGAATTTTAGCTTGCAGTGGCCACTACTCCCAATATATTGGTGCATGTTATTGCAGCCCCTTGCACACTTTATGCACAAACACACATTTATAGAGCAGCTTTCAACCTAGTTCAACTTTATCTTATTGTGGTAGAAAACACATAGGACACAGTTTCTTTGATTTAAGTGCCCGGTTCAGCAGTATGAAGCACATGCGCATTGTTACGAACAGACAAATCTCCAGCTTTTTCTCATCTTGAGGATTTGGAAATCTATACTCATTCAATTTGCTTTCAACTCAACAGTAAATCATATATTTTCTCATTATATCAAGAGCGCCACAATATTATTCTTTAACATTTTAAATGTTAATGTGTAATTTTTTTTCTAGCACTCTAATTAAGAGTAGGCCAGTCTCAAAAAACCAAAAAAAAAAAAAAAAAAAAAAAATAGTAGGCCAGGCATCATGGCACACACCTTTAATCCTAGCACTCAGGAGACAGTGGCAGGTAAGTCTCTGTGAGTTTGGGTCTAGCTTGGTCTACACAGGGAAACCCTGTCCCTCCCTCACAGTGAGTGCTTCCTGTTGGGTTACTTTGATCATTTCCACATTTTCACAGATACATACAGTGCTATGGAGAACACTTTGTATGTTTTGTACAAACAGCTTTACATGTTTGTTTAAATATATCCTTATAATCAAATGTGCAATTGTTAACATAAAGTGGGGCATACTTTAGGGTTTGTTTTTTGTTTATAGGTAAATTTTCATTTTGATGTGAGAAACTCACCACTTTACATTCCAAGAAACAGAATAGAAAAGACCCATTTCTCTATAGTCAACAAAATTGGGTGTTATTGTGAGTTTTAAGCTGCATGTTAAATAAGAATTTCTCTCAGGCATCACTGGAGCATTCAGACCCTTTTGAGCAAAATCAGATGGGAGAATCACTTACCTCTACGAACAAGATGGGGAAGATGCCCACTTTATCTCCGAGCTTTCCCTCTGCCCAGTTCTCATCTACTCGGCTGAGCACTGTGATGATGTCATCCTGAAAGAGAAGGCCTCACATCAGCTCTACCCTCCACTTTCAGGTGATAAAAACCTTCCTCGGAGATCAGTTTGAAGCAAGGAGCAAGGGGCGAATTCTTGAATAGGTTGTGTGGGAAATATTTCTGGCATCATAGAGGGTAGTGTTAGGGTCACCAAGAGTTTTAAGAGGAATGGAAGTGATTTGAGGATCAGGGGAACTTGATAGGAAAAACAGGAACACTCCAATCACCAACAAAGTCCATGGTTTTTATTTGAATCAATCACATGGAGAAGCCAAGAGGAAGCCATAGGTGATAGTGCTCTAGCTTGGTGAGGTGGAATGTTGTTCATTTGAATTTTGAAGACTTTCCAGCATCCACTCAGTTTTAATATGTCAAAAATAAGACAGCTTTCACTTAGGATTATACGTAAAGTTGCAGAAATATTTTGAATGTTGATAAGAAAAACAAATGGATGCTACCCATGCTATCTGCTGATAGCGTGGTTGACCGTTTTTCTTGATGTTTTTATAGTAAGACAAAAGATATACACATATAAATATTGATTTAAATCCTTTTCAAGACATACATATATGCATTCAATAAAGTTTATAAATTCTGGAAATAAGCTGGAACAATGAACCATAGCCACAAATGCCCACCCAAATTAAAATATAAAAAACTCTACATCTCCTTTGTGCCTTTCCCACACTCAAGCATCATGACCTCTGACCTCTGATATTGTCCACTCATTTTATCTGCTTTCCCATTTCATACAATTGATTTCATACTTGGTACCTCAATAGGAACACTTGTTTTCTTCCCACCCACGTGTATGACTTGTACCATGGTGTGTGTGGAGGTCAGAGGGCAACTTCTAAGAGTTGCTTCCCTCCTTGATGCCTGTGGTTTGGGGACTGAACTTCAGCCATTAGGTTTGGCAGCCAGTATTTTTCTCTTCTGAGCCATCTCCCTAGCCACCACACCTTCACTTTGGTTTTCTCTGGAGCCTAGGCTGACTTCAGTGATCCTTCCTCAATATCCCAAATGCTGAGATTACAGATACAGATATATACCACTACATTTACCAGAGGGAAGATCTTTGGTTGACTTTGAACATACTGGGTTTAGGACTATGTGATTTTAGATTTTTCAAATGAAGCTTCAGTGTTCCATAGTGGCAAAATTCTCTGATGTGATATCATATATTCCCACTGATGTGCGTATGTCTTCCATTAGACTCCCAGTTCAATGGAAGAAGTGATATTGCGCCATCACTGTTCCAAGTGACTGAATTGTCAGTTGGGGGCTGGAGTGATGACTTAGCGGTTAAGAGCACTTGCTCTTGCAGGGGACCCAGGTTTGGTTCCTAGCACCCACATGGTGGTTCATAACCATCTGTAACTTGAGTTCTAGAGAGCCAGTGCCTTCTTCTGCTTTCCACAGGTACCAGGCACACACATGGTACACATGCATACATACAGGCAAAACACTCATCTACATAAAATGAAAATAGATTAAGAATAAAAGAAACTGTGTTTAAAAGAAATTGTGAAATAATGGGTTTAGAGAATGAAGCAGAATGTGGTGCAGCTGTCCCTGTTTGCAAATCCCTAGAGAGGTTGGGGAAGCAGATGTTGTTTTCTGCTATGTCTTCCTAGGAACTCAGTGTCTAATGTGTGCTATACAGTTGATACTCAGTAAATACTTGTGACATTGGACTTTCTCTAACTGTTGTCTAAGTGTAAAGTTTGTAGTTCAGATTACAGAATGACCTAGCTGAGAACTTTCTGAGGAACCAAGAAAATAAAGATGATCATCATTTTGGAATTCCCAGGGCAGTGAGATGATTTAGTTAGAGTGAATTAGAGGTGGAATCTCATTTCTCATAGAAATTCAAAGGACTTTTACTGAGGAATTATAACAGCACCACTTCATGTGCTCACATGTTAATCTGTAATAGAAGAAAAGAATAAAGAAACCCCAACTTAGGTTTTTATGAGAGGATTTAAACACATACAGGACAAGAGCCTCTGAAAACACAGTTGAAGTCCCAATTAAATGTATATTTTTTTGTAAGTATTGCCATGGTCTTAGTGTCTCTTCACAGCAATAGAACATTGCCTGAGATAGCGTCCATGTAGTTGAAATTAGACCCATAAACACACATTGCTTACATATTTGCGCGTGCACACACACACACACATATGCATTTGTGTGTAAAATTCATACTCTTTTTAAAAATCAGAAAGTATTTAAACAATGGACTCTGAGTTCTGCCATTGTCTGTATGTGGTGTGTGACTCTTACCTTGAGGAAGGTCAGGCAGTCCTGGTTCTCGCTCTTATCCTTGTCTCGAAGGTCAAAGTTGTAGAGGGCTCTGCAGAGTGGGGGCGGCTGGGGCAGCTGCTTGATGACTTCCACAGAGCTGGCTGGGAAGATACCACTGACCCCGTTGATCTCCCCCTGGTACCAGTTCTCATCAAGCTGTCTCCGAAGGAGGATGACATCTCCTTTATTAAACTTCAGGTCGCCAGGATTCTTTCCTCTGTAGTTGTACAAGGCCTTGGCTCGAGGCACCTGTAAGTGACACAGACCAGAAAATAGGGACTGAACTTAGGGGTGGAGGGATGGAATGTCTTATACCAATTACTAATGATGGTTGTGTGTGGAACATTTATCTCATTTAGTGTAAATAGCTGTCTTAGTTTCTCTTCCTGTTCTGTGATGAGGTACGGTGACAAAATCAATTTTAGGAAGAAAGGGTGTATGTTGGTTCATGGTTCAAGGTACCCATGATGACAGGGGAAGGCATAGTAGCAGAAGCTTGGAGCAAATGCTCACGTCACAGCTTTGGTCAAGAAACAATGACTGCTTCCAATTGCTCAGCTTTCTTTCTCCATTTTGCACAGTCCAGGATCTTCTCCTTTCCAAGTAATTGTCCAGCTCACAATTAAGCAGAGTCCCCTCCATATCAGTTAACATAATCAAAATGAGCCCCTTAGGCATGCTCTGTGCCTGCTGTCCTCTTCTTAGATGATTCTAGAGCCTATCAAATTGTCAACTAACAGCAACTGTCATAGTAACTTTTTTTGACAAAGATTTGTTTTCTTTTAATTTTAAGATTATAATACAATTACAACATTTCTCCCCACCTTCCTCCCTTCAAATACTCTTATATTCCTTTCTCCACTCTCCTTCAAATTCATGGCTTCTACCTTTATCAATTGTTATTACATGCATATATGTACGTGCATGTATACACATATTCCCAAATACAACCTGCTCAGTTTGCATAATGTTACTTGTATGTTTTCAGGGCTGATTGTTTGGCACTAGACAACCAACTGTTGTGCTCTGATCTGAGGAACACTGCCACTCCTGTTCCCAGCTTTACTCAGTTGCCTGTAGTTTTTTGTGTAGGATTGTGGTCTCATGGGCTTTTTCCCATCTACCTTAGCAGCTCCTTAATTTTATACTTTGATTTGGATGGCGGTTTGTGGATATAGTTGGTTGTTCCCAATTATTTATTGAAACAAAAAAAAATATATGAAAGAATTTTAAGTCAGTGTTTATATGCAGGTATCTTTTATCACTACAAAGGTATCTGGAAAAATTAGTGGTATCATCCTTGATCAGCTTATACTGGGATAGCGTGTTGGTGAAACCTCATGAAGATAGCTTCTGATATTATTAGGAGACACAATTTTACAACAATCTCCCTGATCTCCTGGCTCTCACAATCTTTCTGTTCCTCTTCCACAATGTTATGCAAACCTCAGGTGTGGGACATCACTGTTCTGCCCACAATATCTAGGAAACGGAAACAACAGAGTAACCTTTTAGGACAGAAGTTCGCCATCCAATTTACTGATGAAGCTGATTGACAGTGGTTTGGTAACTTGCATAAGGTGACACAGTTGGGGAACGGTAAGTATCAGCAAACATTAGCTCTGGACCTAGGATACTTGAGTCTAGAGCTTTTGTTGTTAATCCTGATACCTGAAGTATGGGTTAGGATTGACTCACAGCTATGTGACTTAGAGTGAATGTCTTAGGGTTACTATTGTTGTGATGAAACATCTTGACCAAATGCATCTTGGGGATTGAAGGGTATAAACCCTTTGGCTTATACTTTCATATCACTGAAGAAGTCAGGACAAGAATTCAGGTAGGGCAGGAATCTGGAGGCAGGAGCTGATGCAGAGGTCATGGAGGAGTGCTGTTTATTGGTTTGCTCTTTGTGCTTACTCAGCCTGCTTTCTTATAGAACACAGAACCACCAACCCAGGGTGGCACCACCCACAATGAGCTGAGCCTTCCCACATCAGTCACTAATTAAGAAAATGTCCTACAGGTTTGCCTACAGCCCTGATATTATGGAGGCATTTTTTCAATTGAGGTTCTCTCAGGTGACTTTAGCTTGTATCAAGTTGACATAAAACCAGTCAGCACAGCGAGTCAGTGACTTTTTCCGGCTGCATACTGATTTTGCATTCTGGTTGTACTTCTTTCTACTTATGTGATTAGGGTTGTTTAACATTTTTTGAACTATGTTCATGTATAAAATAGAATGTTAGTAGGATGTCTACCTCATTAGGGCTTTTGTGAGCAATAAATAGTATCCATAATGCATTGAACATCTTGCCTAGAATATAATATGTGCTCAGTGAATGTCTTCCTTTATTAGCATCATGTATAATGGGGAACTAATGACAGCAGTTCTACCTACTCTTCAGCATTGATGGGAAGAAAATGGGAGTGGAAACCACCTGCAAATAGAAAGTGGATTGTGAGGGTACTGTAGCATAATTTGCCTATAGTCTTCTTCAGAACTGTCGACCTTATAAGCATCTGGATCATTAGGAAACTCAACTGAGACAAGGAAACAATTAGTCAGGAATCAATCATAGCTTTTGAATAAAAATCAGCTCATGAATCGTCATTTGTCAGATCAGTTGTCTGTCTAAATAATTAATATAGTCAAATGCTTCCCTCCACCCCACATTGAGACTGGCTGCTGCACACAGGAATAATCTCAATATGGTTTTATTTGAGGTTGGCTTGGCACACTGAAAGTTCTAACAACTCAGGTTTCAACTAAGGCCTTTCTCTCACCAGAGATACTAGTGTGTGTTTTTCTAAGCAGTGGGATGAAACAGTTCCCTTGCTCTCCCTAGGGGAGTCGGAAGAATTTAATTCAGATATTCCACCATGTTCTAGTTCTATAATGTTCACTTGAAAATACAATTCCGAGCAAATTGTAGTGAGAAGCTCTCACATCCCCTTGGCAATGGATAACGGGGCTGTGGATACTGTAAGGAAAGACGGGGCTTAGAGAAATGCAAGAACAAAGCTCACCCTGGGGAAACTGGAGGGTAAGTGAGCAAGGAAGTGGTTCAATAAGGTATGACAGACATTCACATGATCTTTAGCATGGAGCATCGTTCTAAATATGCTGTTCAGTGTAATAGAAGGCAATGACGGGCCTGTGGACTAGATTATCACCACACATTAGCTTAACTGCTTTCGAAAATGTTAGATGTCTAAACCTCACAACATAGATTATTTCTAAGGAGCAATGTTTTTGCCCTAAGTGTTTAGTTCTGGTTTTTAAACCTTTATAACAAAATGATTGTGATGTCTATTAAAATGAGACAAATCTTGGGGAAAAAAAAGAATGGAGTAAAGCTTATAGGTGACAGGTGGAGCTATAGAAGGAGTTTCGGAAGAAAATGAAACTTAGTGGAATAAGTGACTGTGACCTGTGCTGAAGGAGATGCTGTGTGAGAAACTAGCATGCAGAAGGACGAGATCAGAAGATGCCTAAGAAAAGCCTAAGTCTGTGAGGCATCCTGGGTTGGAGACACCAAGGATCAGCACCTGTCCTTCCAAATCCCTTCTCTCCAATCTTCTACCATAGCATGAGCCACATTTTTCTGGACACATAACTACATGGAATACTGGCTGAGCACACTTCTAAGTCTTCCTGGCTGCTGAGTTCTGATCCATGGAGTAGAAACCTTTCGGTAAATTTCTTATGGAAGGAGGCTCTCTTCTCATCCCTGGCTTCAGTCTGCCACTTGGGATGTGCCATCTTGAGTAATGAGGATGAAGGCTTCTTCTAAACAGGGGAAGGATCCTGCCACATGGCCTTAGACTATTCTTTCAGACTTTTGTTTAAAAGCTACACAAACTTTTACTTTAATGCATTATCCTTTCTTATTTATGAAAAGAAAAGAATGAAACGATAAAGGAGAAAGAATCCAAGTCTTTTATACAATGATGGTAATATATAATAGTTAATATTATTTTTCATACATACCAGCTACCATTACTCCATAATGTATTTTATTTAATTTTCACAGCAACATTCAAAGTATATATAAATTTAAATTTCAAAACTTAGAAAAATTGAAATCAGAAAAGTTCAAGTTGCTCAAATTTACAAAGTGAGATGGTGGTAGATTCGGGATCTGACCATAGGATTCTTTTTAAGCCCAGGGTCTTATCCATTGAGCTCATGTTTCTCAAAATAAACTTTGTGGTTTACCTGTATCAGACTTATGGAGAGTGTTGAAGACACATATTCCAGATCCCAGGCCTGAACTATTCACTCAGTCTTTCTTGGAGTAGGCTTTGTCTTTTTCTGTAGCTGCATTTTAATTTTTATGAAGCTATCCTTCCATCCAGGTTCGATGGTGCTCATTTAAGCAACATCTTTTTTTTTCTCCAAAATCAAATGGGGGCACTGGAGATGTGATATAAGCTTGTAAATTACTAACCTACTTTCCTCTTTTCCTTCCGGGAAGATATTTCTAGTGCAAGTGGCATACGTATTTTAATGAGTACCGAGGGAGGGTATTAAAGCAAAGTGGTAGAAAGTGCTTAAATTCCTTTGAAGCTGCCTCAACTTTGAAACTCTGTGATGGTCCTAATTGTCCACCTTCTTCACTTCTCCTCTCCATTCCTCCTCAGCACAAGGAAGCAGCGTGGACATGAATTACAGGGTCTATATTCGGCGCAAGGCTTCCCTCTTCGTTCCTCCTTCTGGATAATATGTCCCTGGTATTCTTGGTACTCCCATTATAGTGACAGAAAACATTGTCTTCCATTACAGGAAGGGTGGAGGGAGGTAGGAGGGGACAAAGGGGGAAAGAGAGAGAGGGAGAGAAGGAGGACTCTGAAGAGGGGGAGGAAATAACATGTCTCAGGGTTTTTTCAGGCCATTGAAGTTTCTCTCACGTTATCGTACTACTGAATTTTTCATCTGTTAATCTCACTCATGTGACCTCACAACTCTACGAAGCAAGTGGTGTCACCCTATTGTATTGATTGTGAAATAGAAATTCTGAGATGATTTATGTTATCAGATGAGGTCTACACTCAGCCAGTATACACCAGGCCCAAGAAAGACTTGGGTTCATCTGACCCCGAGGTCCTGGTACTTCTACTACACTCCTTCCATGACAGCTGAGGTCACCAGAGTGTTTTCTCATCATAAAAGTCACTGGAGCTGTTTAGTAATCAAAATCTGAATGGAGTGTGAATGCAATTGGCTTGATGCTGGCTGCATTAGC